CTGCTAAAGATCCGATAAGATAGCTAGATCGGTAGACTAAATTACTGCTTAATGTTTTTTAACTAGTTTAGTCATTCTTCCCATGCCAATCAGATAATGGCCGCCAGCCCAGGTTCAATTTAACATTGCCTTATAATCTAACAACCATCGACTTTGGCCAGATAATCTACTTTACTTACATTGATTTACGTGTCAAATTGTTTTAATGAACATTTCATACAATACGGGCATCAATCATCATTTAACTAAATCCCTTATCTGAATCAGTTGCCTTAAGGCTATATACATACGGTGACAGACTTTCTAATGTAGAATATAGAACGGGAAATGCATTTAAATGCAAGTGATTGCCTACCGTTGAGATATCTATTTTGGAATTAGAATTTCAATTTACATGTCAAGTATAATTAGCAAATGTCACATGATACAAAAGTTTATTTAAAGTCAAGAGCATTTAAAATGTGTTACTCACCCGGCAGCTGCTGGGCATGTTGAAGATTATACTGTTAGGGTTGAGCTGAAAACAGAACAAACATTTTAATTCAATACAGAAATTAATGTAAATGTGATAAATTTGTATAGTCATTAGGTTTCAATTAACCAAACGTGTAAATAATACTGCTCCTTATTCCTTTTTACAGACTCGTAGGAATAAGTGGGTGATCATCTTTAGACTATAGCAGATACATTTAGCTATAAGCATATTAGCTGTCTCTTATACACATCTACTTATTCCTTTTTACAGACTCGTAGGAATAAGTGGGTGATCATCTTTAGACTAGAGCCGGGGGGGGGGGTTTAGAGAAAGAGAAGTCCAGACACACTTAATTAGGTTCTTTAGAGCGTAGTAATTTCGTAGGCTCTTTATTAATGATTTATTCAACATTGATCAATTTGGGGTTTTTTTTCCAAGAATGTTTCCATTGTGATAAGTTTTGAAAAATTGTTGTATTAATGAATTATTCAAAAGTAAGTGCCGGGCACACACAACGCCGTTGAGTCGACCGACGATCATCGGCCGACGACTACATATCCGCTCTCAAATCTGTACAAACATTGTAATTATGTTTTTCTCATAAATGTCATCTGATAGTTCATCAGTTTGAAAACTCGAAAAGCAATTTGTTTATTCCGGCAATAAAAAATACAAGATGCACTAAATTAACACTGTGGTACTACAAGAAAGTGAATATACTAGAACTTATTTTTCTCTATCTCAAGACTATTTCTAACGTTAACATTTGTGCTGATAACGTAGTTGCGCAAACATCTGTAAAGGTGTTGGTAAATGATCTGTTTCATAAAGGCCAACTCAGACAGCGTCGGCCGACGCAGCCCGACCCGATTTATCGTCGGGGACAGTCTTAAGCCGTCGTGAGAAATATTAAACACGTTTAATATTCTACTACGCGACTGCCCCCGACGCACACAATCGCGTCTGCGTTCAACTCACACAGACCCGACGCGACAACAAATCGCGTCGGGCTGCGTCGGCCGACGCTGTCTGAGTTGGCCTTTAGGATTATGAATAACGTAAACAAAATGATAACTTTCTACTGATGCTGACATCAACGCAGGATGCTTCACAAAAATGTCCATTCTAAAACTGTATATAACACATTACACTTTGTAACAGAAGTACCGGGACCTACTTGGTACCTACCTACTCTGGAATACCCGGCTGAATGATTAATAGATCTTTTTTGTGCTGATTGCTTAATAGATTTTTTTTGTATGGGCGGCCGTTAGGGTCAATTATTATTATTATTATTATTATTATTTTTAGCTCCAATGAGAAGCTCTAGAAACACTCGACTGATTGATTAATATATATTCTTTGCTCCGATGAGGATTATGTATACTCGTTGAACTTCTTATGAATAAGTGACACAAAGTAAAAGTGTAATGGGATCTATTTCTCTAGATTTTTATAAATAGGTTTTCATTTCTCAGTCTATTGGAAATGTAACCTGCAGTATTTTGCCTATGATATACTTGTGTAAACATATGGTAATACATATTTGGTAAATGATTCATTTCAAAGGGATTATGAAATGTAAAAATAATCTGTGCAGTGATCTTTCTATTAATACTAACAGACCTAGTTATGCCACACTGAAATAGTTACTCTGGAAATGAAAACAACAATAACAGAACTTGTCCTTGATGACAAAAATCGGAGCAGGTTTAAAAAAAACAAAAACAAAGTATCTAAGATGAAACGTTTGAAGCAGAAATGCTGGAAATAAAATCACAGTACAATTTAACTATTCAAAACATTGTACATAAATATACAATAATTTAATGATTATGGAATTACATCATAGCGAGAAAAAAAAAGAAGAAAACCCAGAGGCGAGCTGCTCGCATTGTAATTGGTAACTTGATTTTAGAGGTAATGAAAAGAGGGATTTTGTCTTATACGCATGCCTGATGTACAAAATGTATCCAATTTCCCTTACGCCACAGAGACTCACAAATGAAATTGAAATGATATATGATAGGAATGAGTAGCTTCACCTCAATTCAACATTAATCAAATGAGTTAATCATTTAAGGTTCCGGTGCAAAAATATTTAACGAAATGCCCGTGAGTATCACTTATTCATCATCAATTTGTACTTGTATTCCTAATACTATTTCTTGTGTATTAGGCTGGTCGAAAGTACTCGTACAATAAATATATTATGCTGAGGCAGATACATAACCTTTGTTTCATTTCTTGGAAGTTATTTGATATGTTTGAAGATACACTGTCTGCTTTGATTTATTAATTTATAAATGTTAACATTCCAATAAATTTCTTTAGGGCTATATAATTTGTAGTTCTTAGCTTTCAATTAAAAAGTCCAAAAATTTTTTTTCTAACTTATCAATAGACGCGCTTAAATAATACCGTTGCTATGGTCTATATGTAAAGACTGTTTACAGATGTAGTAATTTATTAAAGATTTTTTTCAGTAATAAATTAAATAGTTTTCCCGGTTTTACGGCAGATAGTTAAAGCTTGGTTTCCATAAAATCGCTACACGCTATCAGCTTTCTGTGATGCTGATTGGTTGGTTGTATCGGGGAGCCTTTCCGATTGCACCGGGGACTGCTACGCTAGTGCAACGATTGCAGTAAAAAAAGCTGTAGCGAGTGTAGGATTTAAAGAAACCAGGCTTTATCGTATCTTTAACGTTTTTACTTATGGCGCCCCGTGTCAAATGGTTCTCCGTGGAACCCTGGATTATTTGTATCCTAATAATTCATATTATACACGTTATTCTCGGGTAGGCAACCCACACCCTGACTGACACCAGACGCCTGTGTTCCCTGAGAGAGTGTAAATACTATAACATTACCGGAAAGCCCGCTGACAACAACGTAGAGTACTACTACTGTACTTAGCATTATCATTAAATTTACCTTGCATTGCAGAAGCGACAAGAATAAATTTGTTTTTTAATTTTCCTATTCTGTCCTTCATTATCTGATATTCGCTTAACGAATGTGTTCGTGGTGTATGGCATAGGGATAAGGCATTGATTCAGAGATGTCCCTGCTTCTTTGCCAAAGACTGTCTAAGAAGTGTGCTTATACGTGGGCAGTTAATTGCAAACACGGCAGGAATATTCCCAAAAGGAGTGGGAAAAATTTTGCCTATAGAGCAAGTGACCAGAGAACTTTGCAAACCTTTCATCCTCTGGCAAAAGACGTTATATAAATTCTATATTTAAATTTAGATTGTCCTTTTGAACTGGTCTTCTTTGATGAATTACTGTGCACATCTTTTTAGATCATTACATAGGACACTGCTGATGGACATCCTATGATACGTCATCTTAATTATACAGTAGGGGCACTTTCGGAGGCCCGGGCTTTCCGGTAATGTTATAGTATTTTTTCTCCCACTGACAACAACGTAGAGTACTACTACTGTACTACAATTAGCATTATCATTAAATTTACCTTGCATTGCAGAAGCGACAAGAATAAATCTGTTTTTTAATTTTCCTATTCTGTCCTTCATTATCTGATATTCGCTTAACGAATGTGTTCGTGGAGCGGCTGTTTACTTATTAAAGCGAAAGCATAATGACCCTGAATGTGATAATTAGCGATATTGATAGCCTAAGGTCACAGGATCAGATTGATGAAAATTATCTACCAACATAACTCCTTGAAATGCTTAATAACAGCACCACCAAACGACTCTGTACATTACAACAACTTTTTCCCTGAAGCATGGGTCTCCGCACATTGAATATGAGATCGGACCTAGATTTTGAAAATTAAAGAATAGGCCTAAGTATAAGCAGTGACCGGATATGTCCAGAGATTTTTTAAATATTTTTTATCAGATCAGATATTTTGTAACCTTGTTGTGAATCTTGCACATTTAATATAGATTGTGTAATTAGAAAAAGTAGGCCTAATCAATATTAATAACCTACTAAAAGTGAGGCAAACATGTGTGTTCAGAAGAGGGCGGTATCCACGATTATCTGGAATGCACTTACGCTGATTGATTTTCAACCTAGAACGTGAATGATTTAAATGACAATATAATCAGTTATTTCAAACGCTTAGGTGATTGTTGATTGTAGAATGGACTATTTAAAAAAAAAGCAGCCTTCAAATTTCATTAGTTGATTTTGATTTTTTTGGAATTAATACGTACGTCACTGTTATGGTTCTCAAATGGAAGTTTCCGTTGCTTGGTTACAGCTAATCCACTTAGCTGTACGCTCTTCCGAAAGAGGAAAGTGTACGGGAAAATTTTTAAGTATAGTCAGATTTATTCGAGATCTACAATGAGGATGAGTCAACGATAATGTTTGTGCTAATTTTAATTATTATCATGTCACTGACGATTGTATTATCGTGTCACATTCATAATAATCTGTAAGGTATGCTCCAAAATTAGAACAAGTCATGGATTTGTATTTCAATTTTTTTTTTTTACTTAGGCCTTCTAACAATACAATTTAAGTTTTATGTTTTTCCTCTTACAGATATTCAAAAGCGAGCGACGTATGTTCTGAAGATTTGCATTTAATATGATATAATGGATCAAACAACGTCTATGTACCTACCAGAAATATCGAAACAGTATGACGGAAACGTGTCAAATATGAGTCAAATAACCGCCGATATGCCGCTATCGGTGACGATACCAGTCGCTACGCTTATGATATGCGTCAGTATCGTAACGTCCATTGGTAACGCGTTGGTGATACACGCAATTCGAACGGAAAAACGACTGCAGACCGTAAGCAACTACTTTATAATGAGTCTTGCAGTAGCAGATATGTTGATAGGATTGATAGTAACACCACTGAGTATGCTCTTATTTGTTAGCGACCAGAAGTGGATTCTTGGACTGCCTATATGTCAGGCCTGGCTGTCCGTGGATTACGTTTGTAGTACAGCGTCCATCTTTAATTTGTTTGTGTTAAGTTTAGATCGCTACTGGTCGATTACGTCACCATTAAGGTACATTCGAAAAAGAACTGTAAAACGAGCGGCTGTTATGATATCATTCGTTTGGATTTTTTCGTCTCTTTGGATAATCCCCATTTTATTTTGGCATATGGTTTTTCTGGGTGGAAAAAGAAGTATTGAAGCTCATGAGTGTGAAACAGAATTTCACAATAACCTCGTGTTTAAGATCATTACAGCAGCTTTTAATTTCTACATCCCACTCGTTGTAATGGTTTATATATACATTCGGATTTACTGGGAGATAAGAAGGCGAAGTGAACTAGCGGTTGGCCGAAAAACTTACGGATTTAAGAAGAAAATTGGTGACGAAGATGCGCGTATGGTTACGCAGCAACTTGACTTAACGAGTGCACAAGGCGGGTCGTTTGGAGACGAGTGTGATTATGAATATGAATCAATGAGCACAAGTAAAGAGGGCACAATCAATAATGAAGTCGCAAAAAAAATTAATTACGTCAACCGGCAAAATGACAATGAACGTGAACAATTTGAGGAGCTATTAAGTATGAAAACCATCGATATCAAATCTAGAGATATAGATATCGAGGATGATGAAGATTTAAAAGAGGATGGATTTCACATGGATTCGAACAGTAATTTTGAGATGGACTTATCGGATCTGACTTCTAAATTGAGTGCAGAAGCACAAGAGGACAATTCGGAAACCCAAGAATCAAAAATTATACAAAACGGATTATGCACACAAACAAAACTGCCTATAAGACGTTGTTCTAGTGATTTGGAATATATCCCATCGCAATCATATGCAAATAGTACGTACGCAATACCGGATATTCCAATTGCAGAAAGTAACTCTTCTGAAAATCTACATTCTAAAGTTCCGCCGAAAAAGCGGCGGGTGCGTCGAACTGTTAGCAGTCAACAGTTTGAGACATCCACTTACACAGTGCTACAAACTGTCAATGAAAATGAGGAAGCAATCTGCATTGAACGTACTAATAGCGTAATGATACAGTGTATGAAATCAAAATCATCATCGTTCCCACGACAAAAACACACACAGCACAACAGGCCCATTGTGTCTCAGAACGGGGATGCCGCCCCAGTTCAAACATTTTCCAGATCAGCATCACTGTCGAGAAGATTAGGAATTACGCTGCAAACAGGAATCGCAGGAGAAACTCTCGGAAAGATAAAACGTTTTTCTTTAAGCAAAGAAAAGAAAGCGCTGAAACAACTTGGTGCGATTGTCGGTTGTTTTGTTATCTGTTGGCTACCATATTTTGTTGTATTCATGATTGTTTCATTTTGTGAAAAGTGTGTAAATGAACATTTTTACTATTCTACCATCTGGTTAGGCTATATAAACTCTGCATTAAATCCGTTTATATATCCTCTATGTAACAATAACTTCAGAGTTGCATTTCGGCGAATGCTACGATTAGACGGAAAGAAAGAACCAGATAACTGAAGTCGTATTATAATGCAGTTTATTTTCATCGATTCGGTGACAGGCATTGAAAAAGTGCTAGAAGTTTAATTTTGAAAGTTCTACAGTGATACTCATGTTTAAATGCTACACTCGATATCATAGTCTATTGCGGTTTGCAAAATGTGGAATTTTCTAAATCAGAACGACAATAGGCCGACTCATCAATGATATATATAACTTTAATTATCTTATTTGTACCGTAATTCATAAGTATCTTGTGAAAATTAAAATACGTCTAAATTAGAATTGTGCTGCGGTCTGGTAATAATTGCTAATGGGATCATAATACTCTACGTCACTAAGTACCAATGACATTTGCGTCGAAATTAATTGGTTTTATGACCATCGGCATTCATAGTCAACATTTATTATTGATTTTTAAAAAGAAAGTTTATGCGCAAAATGTATGTTCTGTTGTAAGATGTTTGAGCTGCAAGCACCATCGACGAACTGATGGTGTCTGTCTCGTGTGTCTAACCATGGAGGAATTAGTTTATAATTCCTCTATGGTTTAACGACGATGCTAGGCTATAACGAGTTGAAGGCATTCACACTATCATAACTTACATTTTTGTGACATAACTTAGATAAACAGTCGGTGATATTCTAGTCTGCAATGCCTCACGTTTACAAACTTTTCCCTTTGTTTAATAATGCAAAACTTACGCAACAAAATTCAAATTTCTCAAGCATAATCTTACCGAACACCTTATAAAGGCCAAATGGGAGGTTGCGGGAGCAGGAAAATATGTGCCGTATTTTCTATGTCCTATTAGAAGATGTAGAACCTACAGATCAAAACTAAAAATTCCCAACCCACAGCTAAATATTAGACATCACACAAAGCAAAGGGCTACGAGATTCTCCAACATTCATAAACCAATTCATTTAAAGATTTCTTTACAAACTGAACATAAACAAACATTGTACATTATAACAAATAAACAATAATAATACTAGGCCGTATACAGCATAAAATATAAGTAAAAGTATAATAGAAGAAATATATTATATTGCGTCTGTGTTCTCTTAATTCTATTATCAATCCTCATTGTCAAGCTTACTGACATTTATGTGCTGAAAGATCGTTTTTGGGGCTCATAAATTCCTTTATTTCCACGAAGCATTTTATTTTTAGATCCAATATTTTAATTATTTGAAATGTGTGTTATTTTAAAATTAACAAGGTACCGTGCCTATTACCTTACCTGTATAAATTTTGCAAAGGCAACAATACATACAACTTGGCTAACTGGTACTT